AGTCTATGTCACTGTCTGAATGCATCATTTTTAAATCTTTCCAATCAGCAGCCCTGAACGTGACATACCATTAACAGTAAACAGATTACCTGAATTATGAGGAATTGGAAGTATAGTTATGTCAGCAGGAAAAGGTGTAAAGCTGATAGGAAGACAATATCCTGGCAACTTTAATTCTGACTGTGAAATAGATGGATAGGATCAGACTCAATAAATACAACATCAATAACAACACAGTTTCACAGAAGTTCTGCTCTGTAACTATGTTAAAGGAGGAAAAAATACCCCAACTTACAAAGAATGAGAAGCCGAGTCCTACTGAATGCATAGCATACACAATAAGAGAGGCTATGGAGGACACAAAAACATTTCTATTCAATTCTCAGCTTGAAGGACAATTTGAGAAAACTACTTACTGTGTTTCTGTGTTAGTATTTCCCTCTCTCACCAGCAGACGTGTGCAAGTGTGGAGAAATTTGTCAGAATCATTTTGTCAAAGATTTGTAAAGTGCTAGGAAGAGACAAGAAATGTGTAGGGAGTGATAGGATCAGAGGGAATGGCCTGAAGTCACACCAGGGGAGGTTCAGTTTAGGTATTAGGAAATACATCTCCTCAGAAAGAGCAGTGTTGCATTGGCACAGGTTGCTCAGGGAGGTGGTGGAGTCATCATTCCTGGAGGTGTTCAAGAACTGTGTGGACAAGGCATTGAGGGGCACAGCTTAGTGGGATGGTCAGGAGGGATTGGTGGTTGGACTTGATCTCAGAGGTCTTTTCCAACTTAACTGATTCTATGATTTAGCAATGGCAGAAGCTATTCAATCTCTTGGAAACAACAGATGCTATATAGTTTGAAAGAGCCCTTATAAGAGACATCTTCACTCAGTTTGGATTTATGTAAATGTTTTCTTACACTCTTTGTGACATAGGTACAAGACTGTAACTGAACCCTCACTCCTGATTAAAAGAATTCTATAGCAGAAACTTTGGTAGGTCATTCTTAGTTAATCTATAAGGATGAAATGTGGACAGCACAAGTAAGGCAAAACTGCCAGCACCTCTGAAGTCTAAGTTAGTGCTACAGAGTTTGCAAAAAAAAAAAAAAAAAGTTACTAAATTCAAAGAAAGAGGTAAACTTTGCTTGTTATGAAGTGTATTCAAACCAGTTAAAATTTTATTCTTCACAACATAAAATTATCACTTCTAACACTATGTATCTTATATGGAAATTTTTGTTCTTGTTAGGTGTAAATAAAGAGGTATTGATTCTTGCCACAGGCATTCCAAATGCACTGTCATCGCTTTATCTAAGACACCATTAAACATACAGGTTTGTGGATGCTTGTTTTTAAACTCTGAGAATCAGACTTAGAGCTGGCTACTTTTATACAAACTGAACAAAACTCAAATGTAAAGCAGAAATACTTATTTTGTCTCCTGCTTTTACCTTAAATATCACTACCTGAGACAATTACTGGCTATATCTTCCTTCATAAATTAAAGAAAATGACTTACACTAGACATTTCTTACTATAAGATTCACATTCTGCTTTCATTTTGGGGCACTTGATACTGCAGCATTAAACTGGTTTTTCCTGTTTCATGAAAGTTTCTTTGAGCATTTGCTTAATAAAGAAACCAAGGTATGTTTCTGCTTTAATCATGTATGGCAAATTAACTCCCAAGCAAATGAAAAGTGCTTTCTATATGTTATAATTCACTTGAGCCCTGAAAAAAAGCACTTCAGTTCTATTAACTTGTAAAAACCAAATTTTGAAATGTGCTCCTTAAAAATTATCCTGTATGTATTACCATAAAACCATAGGAATTCTGTAGTAGGACCACTGATGACATATTGTATCCCACAGTCCAAAGAATTATTATAAGTAAATTGGAAAAAAAAATCATACAAATAGCCTCTAGTAGCTGGTACATTTATTTCAAGTTTGAACTTGCATGAACAGCATCTTCCTCAATGTGTTGACTCCAACAGTGAACTGGAGACTACAAACAGCCAGTCAATGAATTTCCCTACTTCTCAGTGCCCATCATTGAATTCTCCCCCCCAAAAGTGACTTTAGTTCATTTTATCACACAAAACTCAACAAACAAGACTCAGTCAACAATACAATCCAAGTTAATGTACTGCTGAAATAATTCTATTTACTGTGTATTGATTGCTATAAAATTAAGTGCATGTTCTTCTTACAATAAGCTTGCAGTCCACAGAACTTAACCATACAGGCAAATAACATTCTACTGTGTTACTGTGCTTTTTCCCTTTGCAACCTAAAAAAGCAATCTTACTTATATTGTTTTATTTCTTAATATTATAGTGTCATTGCTGAGACAAGATGACATCTAAAAATCAATAGTAAAATCATGTCAAAAAAGCCTTAAGGATGCACCAAAGGATTGATTCAGACTTGCAAGTAGTTTTAAATAACAAGGCTAAATTGATGTCACTGCACTCCTTCGGAACAGTTATGGTTATCCATGTAATTGAGGACTTCCAACTCACTAGTGTTAAGAAAACAGAAGCGTACTGCAGTATTTCTCTCTGAGGTATTGTCTTCAATTTTATGCATTTCTGGGAACACTTCTCAGAAATTTGATGTTTAAGGAGATGGTATTATGTGCAAAGAACACACAGAATTGCTACAAATGCTCATATTATTCACAAATTGTTATCATTTCCCTCAGAAATTCAACTAAGTAGCATCTGAAATAAATCAGTCTGCTATGTACTACTGATGTGTCAGCTCACCAGGACCGCAGGACACTTGGGCTAGGCAAGCTATCTAGTGCTTCAGCCTCAAAATTGTGCCTCCTTGATTTGAGCTAGGATTTAATAATTTTTTTCATCTTAGATTGCAGTTCTTAAAGTAATGACATTTGTAATTTTATTTCCATGTTTATATGGTTATAGTTAGCAGAACTTTGTAGTTATCGTTAGGCTTCATTATGCGATGTTGAGAGATACTGAAATAGAAGATATAACTTGTATTTTCAGCCCCTATCTATGAAAATAGATGGTCAGCCTTTTGTTTCATTGAGTCAAAGCCCAACCAAGAAATAACTTGTCATTCACATTCAAAACTTGACTTCAATTTAAGCTAAGCTACTAACATTGACCAAAAAAAAAAAAAAAAAAGTAGCTCCTACTTCTAAAATCCCCTTTCAGCAGGGGTATTTCTGCAGGAATCTTCTAAATATGCTACTGGAGAAGCAATTGGAGAGATGAGAGAGAAAAATATGTTCTTAACCCTAAACCTGACATCTACAAGGATTATAGAGCTATGTGAGTATACCAATCAAAAAAGATACCAAGTTTACACTACAGGCAGGACCACACTTTAATGAAGAACTACAGAACAGTAGTCAGCAGCAAAGAAATGGGTAAGCCAAGTTTGGAAATAAGACTGGAAAGGAGATCACTGATAAACAGGACCACAAGTGCAGTATCTCAGAAATAATACCTCCTCAAAATTACAGGAGGAGTTAGTATTTCAGCACAGAATTCAGTCTGTGCATGTGCTGGCTTTCTATTTCAAACCCCCTGCCACAGGCAGGCTTGACAACCATTAGACGAGGATGCCCAGAGCCACATCCAGCCTGGTCTCGAATGCCTCCAGGGATGGGGCATCCGCAACCTCTCAGGGCAACCTGTTCCAGTGCACCACCACCCTCTGTGTGAAAGACATTCTCCTAATATCTAACCTAAACCTCCCCTGTCTTAGTTTAAAACTGTTCCCCCTTGTCCTATCAACCCATGTAAACAGTCATTCCCTCTCCTGTTTACATGCTCCCTTCAAGTAATGGAAGGTCACAATGAGGTCTCCCCGGAGCCTTCTCCAAGCTAAACAATCCCAGTTCTCTCAATCTTTCTTTGTAGGAGAGGTGTTCCAGCCCTCTGAGCATCTTAGTGGCCCTCCTCTGGACCTACTCCAAGAGCTCTGCGTCTTTTATGCGCTGGGGATCCCAGGCCTGGACACAGAACTCCAGATGGGGCCTCACAAAAACTAAGTAGAGAGGAACAATCACCTCCCTCTCCCTGCTGGCCATTACCCTTTCAATGCAGCCCAGAACACAGTTGGCCTTCCAGGCTACAAGCGCACACTGCTGGCTCATGTCCAGCTTCTCATCCATCAGGGCCCCCAAGTCCTTCTCCGCAGGACTGTTCTTAAGGAGTTCTTCCCCCAGTCTGTATAAATACCTGGGATTGCCCCGGCTCCTTGCACGGGCCCACTTCTCCAGCATGTCCAGGTCCCTCTGGATGGCTTCCAATGTATCAACTGCACCACTCACCTTGGTGTCGTCTGTGAACTTGCTGAGGGTGTACTCAATGCCACTGTTTACATCACTGATAAAGATGTTGAAGAGCACTGGTCCAAGAGTGACCCTTGGGGAACATCAGTTGTGACAAGGCTCCACTCAGACATAGAACCATTATTCACAACCCTCTGGTGGTGACCAGCCAACCAATTCTTAATCCATCAAACAGTCCATCCTTTAAATACATACCTCTCCAATTTAGAGAGAAGGGTGTAGTGAGGGACCATGTCAAAGGCTTTGCAGAAGTCCATGTAGATGACATCCATCACCCGCCCCCTGTCCACCGATGCTGTCACTCTATCACAGAAGGCCACCAGTTCGATCAGGCACAATCTGCCCTTGGTGAAGCCACGCTGGCTGTCTGAAATCACCTCTTCATCTCATATGTGCCTTAAAATGGTAACCAGGAGGACCTGCTCCATGATCTTGCCAGGCAGAGAGGTGAGGCTCACCAGCCTGTAGTTCCCGGGGTCATCCTCTCTCCCTTTCTTGAAAATAAGAGTAACATTTCCCTTTTTCCAGTCATGGGGTCTTTCACCAGACAGCCATGATTTTTCAGATATGATGGAGAGCTGCTCGGCAACCACATCAGCCATCTCTCTCAGAACCCTGGGATGCATATCAACCGGCCCCATGGACTTATATACATTCAGTTTCATGAGGAGACCTCAGGCATGTTCTACTTCACACTGGGATGGAATCCACTCCTCTCACCCACACCTACAGCTTCATGGCCCTGGCAGATGTGGGGAGTCTGACCACCAGTAAAGACTGAGGTGAGGCACTTATTGAGCGCCTCAGCTTTTTCCATGTCTGAGGAAGCCAGTTCTCCACCCTCATTTATCAGAGTGGGAATATTCTCCTTCATCTGTCTTATCCTGTCTATGTAACTGTAGAACCCCTTATTATTATTTTTCATATCCCTTGCTAAATTCAGTTGCCATACCTACACACCTAAGCACCTCCAGGGAGTGGCAGTTTGAACATGGCAGCAGTAGCTCTGTTTAGAGTAAGAATGCAACTCTGTCTGTGGAATAGTCTACTTTTTTTTTTTTTTAATTATTTTTGCTTTATAAACGATCGTAAGCTCTGCTTACGCAGAGGAGGAGGCAGCCTCTTGCGGGGCTGGGGAGCATCCTGGGTGTTGTTGGCCCTCCTCTTTTTGGGGCGCTGGGTACTCCTAGAGGAGCGCTTCCTGCCCCAGCTGGGAGTGGAGCGCCTGCGACTGTAGCCCTGGGCACTGGGCCCTGCTGCCTCCTGCCCTGGCACGAAGGGCTGCTCCTGCTCCCCAGAGCTGGGTACGGAGGGGAGCTTATGATCATCCCCATGGGGAACCCCGCTTAATGTGCCAGGGAGCTCCTGCACGTCTGGATCTGCAGAGGTGCTGGCAGGTGAGGAGCTGGGGGTGAGAGTCGTCTGTGAAGAGGCAGCTATGGGGCTGTCCTCCAGCTCCTGGGCAGTTCCATCATCCTCAAGACCCCGTAGCCTCCGGGCCTCCTGGCTGCACCGGCTGATAATGGTGTCTATGAGCCAGACAATGAGTGGCAGGGCAATGGATCCCATGCTGGGCTCTATACACTGGAGCATGGCATCCCTGTCTGGCCCCAGCTGACATAAGCAACACAGGAAGAGGCTCTCCGCTGATCGGACCTGCCACCAGTTGATCCCAGGGATGGAAGAGAGCTTTTGGTGCAGGGAGGGCAGCACAGGGTTGAGGATGCTGTGTTGCTCCCTGAACAGCGCTGCCCACTCCTGTGGCAAGAGGCCTCCCACTCTTTCTCTCAGTTCTGGCCCTGTACCCCTCTGCTCAGGTGGCAGTAGCAGGGAGGATGGAGCCACAGTGCCAGCAGGGACAGTGCTGGTGCTATCATGAAAGCTGGCAGGTACTGGCACTGCAGGCGGGGAGACAACACATTCTATGTATTGTTTGTCTCCCCACACAGAAACCTTGATGGTCTTCATAGCAATCCTGCAGAGTGGGCAGCTGGCTCTCAGCCTTGCCCATCGCTGGATGCAGCCAAGGCAGAACAAATGGTTACATGGGGTCGTAGTCGCAATGTCTTGTCGCACCTCGCGGCAGATAGGACACATCCATTCCTCTGTTGCAGCCATGGTCTTCTCGCTGCTGCAGGTGGGGAGAGCAGAGGGTGACAAGCTGCTCTCCTTCGCCAGTGCTGCAGTGGTAGTGTCATGCATTGCAAGAGGAAGAGAGGTCACAGTCACTCAGCCATCCCAAGCCACAATGAAGACATACCTCAGTCCCTCAGCAGGAAGTCCTCCTGGCCCTACAACAGGGTCACATGCTTCCCACCAGATTCCCACCACTAGACTCCCCATGGCTACCCCAGGGATGTGTCCCTGCACCGCTCACCTCTGCTGCTGCAAGCACGTCCTGCTGGGTCCCAGCTGCCTGCGCGGGGCAGGGCCAGGGAAATGAGTGATGCTGTGCGGATGGACACTGAGAGCTGCTGCAAGCAGTCACAGGCACAACCCAGCACAGCACAAAGTCTCGCTTAACCTCCAAGCTTCACAGTAACGCTCAGCACAATCCAGGAACAAGCCAGACTGAGCCAGGTTCTGCCAGTGCCTCAACACAAGCAGTGACAGCTGCGCACACACACACAATCTCTTGCCTGCTGGTGTCACAGCCTCTTGCTTGGTGACATCATTTGGGTCATCACACGCACCCGTAGTCTACCACTAAACCTGGCCTGTCCAGCCTGTGTCCCTGGACAGTCATGAACGCAGCCCCACAGGATCATAAACTTTTAACATTATGTAATTTTTAGAGATTTTTTTTTTCTTTAATGAGCCAATTGTGTGAAGCTCAAGTGCGGACTGCGTAGATAACAACAGGATGCTGTGGAGGGCAGGGCTAAGCCCCTTCACACGTTCACCACACACACAATCAAATCAAAACCTACATGCATTGCACATTATATGAGCTTGTGCCATTTGGCGAGGAAAACGTAGTGATTGCCAATAATAATATTTCAACCCACCTACACCTACGTGTGCCTGTGAAGACACGCCTTTCTTTTTATTAAGCATACATGTTAGTTTTCTTATTTGTTAAATTTGTGCTTCTGTTATTCTTATAAATAATGTAATAAGTCAACACGCTCCCTTAAGAACAAAACACCAAAAAAAACTGTAATTGAAAAATATTTCCTTGCCAACACTGATAATTAGTCACCGGCAAAGATCTAACATAAAACTTGTGCATTGTTTTGCCTATGGACAGATACAAAAGAATACACCAACTTTATTAGCTATGTAGCTGCCTACTGATATATCACAGCCTCTAATAACACCTTTACACACCATATTCACTGAAACAATCAGTGCAAAGTTCCACTTGAATGAAGTGGCATAATCTGATTGCCAACAGATCAAAGCTTGGAAACGTGAGGGAAGAGCTTAACCCCTAGCTTTCAAACACTTCAGTTGCTTTGCATATTTCTAAGAATCAAGGTATATTAGTAGTTACTCAAGCCTGGAAAGCAGAGCTGGTACTGTTCATGCTTCAAAGAATAATTCAACCTGAAGTTGATAGTGCTTATTCGACATACTCATAATGTGTTGAGGGGAGCAGAGAACAACACATCAGCATACTAGCTTTTCAAACAGTGCTAGACAACCACTTGCTCTTAATAACTTACACTAATACTTACTAATTTTAATAAGCTATTACAAATCAGACTTGGCAAGAGGTGTTTATAGCTCTGTTATTACAGACTTGAACCAAAGTTCTTGAGACCCATTCTCCTGGTACTCAAGAGAAGGCCACACTAGTGCTAAATATACTGGGAGAATCACCTGTTTTGACCTGCTGGCTATGCCGTGTTAAATGCATCCCAAAATACAGTTTGCATTCCTGACTGCTAGGGCATGCTGCTGGCTCATGCTGAGCCTACTGTCAACCAACACTCCCAGCTCCTTTTCTGCTGAGCTGCCCTCCAGCTGTTTGTCTCCCTGCCTGCGCCCCTCTGGCATTACACCATCCCAGCAGCAGAACACAGTATCTCTGCTGAATTTCATAACAGTGTTCTGTTTTATACAGACCCCTCTGCAAGGCTTCTTGTCCCTCCAGGGAGTCAACAGCACCTCTCAGATTAGTATCGTCAACAAAGTAGCTGAGGATGCATTTCACTCCCTGAGGATGCTCAGGCAGCATACCCCTAAGTGAGGGTTATTGGCTTAAACTTAGAGCCATACTCACTGAAGTATATTGTTTTTGACAGCTTAAAATAACGTGGAGTAAGATTGCTTCTTAATCCAAAGTAAATTATGCCAGTAACAGAGTATTGCATTAAATGTAGACCAGAGCATTTAGCACTTCACAAATCTGAACTCCAGCTTTCATCCATCTTCCTTCCCCAAAACATACATACAGATCTCGCAGCCACAAAGCCTTCCCTACAAGCCTTGAAGAATTACATACCTGCCACACCTCCATCAGGCATTCTGAATCACTAACCACTGCCCTTTAAATTACACCTTTTTTTAAAATTGTTACCCATTGAGAAATATTCAATGTTCTTCTGTCCTTTAGAAATCACACACTGCACTGTCCTGTGAGGAGCACTGAAATACCTCTCATATTCAGAGAGAGCAGCCAGGAGGAAGTTTATGCTTTGTCTCACTGAAGAGTCACCATGATCTGCCACCACTGAACACTCACTCATGTAGTTTAGGCTGAATTTGAGCTATGAAAAAATCTAGCACTATAACAAACGCGACAGACAAACAAGGAAACAACAAAATGAACATAATGTTAAGATTTTGGGGTTAAAACCCAAGAGGTTTAAACAATCAGAAGCTTGAAAATCAATACAAGAAGTAATCGAGAAAGTCAAGACCTGAATGTTTGCGTTAGCAAATCTCAGAAAAAAAATTAAGAAGAATCTGCTTTCTGCAGTCAGCATTCCAATGAATCCAGTGTGCTGGTCAAGTACATCAGGATTCGCAGTACCAAAAGGTGGGGTCCCACCCCCACCCTACACACTCAAGGTTTACATACATGCCTGACTGCATGAACTTATACTGTGTGAACTCCAAGTCGGTGTTTCTGTTCCTTTCGTACAGATGCTGATTTTCTAATAACCATCCTATGAGGGAATTATCACTGCCAGTGTACTCAGTTTTGTAAAGCTTTGTGAAGGCATTTTGATATATATATAAAGGATTAAATATTTCCGAATTATTTGGTTGGCTTACCAAATTTATTCAAGGGCTCTGTTCTTACTTCATTCTTCCACCTAACAACTCTGCATGTCTTGAAATATATTCTAACATAAGCAGAACAGACTAATTGAGTATGCTTTAGGGTAAAAATGTGAAATAACTGGCTACAAATTGATCTTGCAACCTCAAGAAAATCTTCCTCCTTGCCCCTCGTCTTTTATCAGCCTCAGCTCCTGTGCACAGAGACTATAACCAATATGGATTGGTAAGAACAGAAAGTAATCAGATCATTCTGACTCAAAACTCAAACCGGTTTTGTTAAAAGGAAGATGTTGACTAACCAGAGGACAATTGTGGACCAAAGAAAGGAAGACTAGAACAGTATCATCAAATAAATGCTCGTATTAAAATGGTACAAGTAAATCCCATCCAGCCACTCAGACCTCTAAATTTTAAGGAAAAAAAATATTTTCTTTCAAAATACTCCTCACAGAAAAGAAAAGTACTCCATTGCTTTTAACACTGAACTGCTTCCTTTATGCTCTTGGACATATTCAATATTTGTGCAGAAAAACCTAGGATCCTTAATATTGGATTAAGGAATTACGTGCAGTGGGATTTGCAGCCTTTTTCATTTTCTCACTCCTATCACACCAGTATTTACTGAGTTGAAGTGAGCTGGAGGCAAGTTCAATTTCCATTTCTGCTCAGGGGAGTGATTAAATTCAGCTGATGCTGAGAAAGTCAGCGCAATGAATATGGCAAGTATTGGCTGCCAAACCTATGAGGAAGGATTAGTACCAGACACACAGCTACCAAAAGAAAACAACAGCAAAGAAAGCCTAGTTAAAGAAATAAAAAAAAAAAAAAAAGGAAATGGAAAATAAATCTTCTAAGAAGAAAAAAAAACAAGACACTATAAGCAGGAAAAAAACATATTAAACTCAATTATATATTTCAATACTATAGAATATTCTAAGAGTAAAATTTTAGATTCAGAGTATTCTGTGGGCATCCAACCTTTTGGTTTGTGTGGGCCACACTGAGTGAGCAGGAATCGTCTTGGGCCATATCTATGAAAGTTGCTCCAAAAGTAATGCCTCCTATATATTTCCATGGAAACTACAACTGATATACAGAGCACAATAACACTGTTTAATAGAGCAAATTCTCAGTTATAAAACACTCTGTTTCAACAGTCACCACTATTAGCTCTGCATTTTTGCCAGCAATTAACAGGAGCCTGAGTGCTGTACTCATAACCATCTGTACCAGCGGAGGTGATCCACTGCTGCTGTCACCACTGCTGAAATGCACCACCCACCACCTCACTGTGCTCACACCCACTGTTTGGTCTACAGCAATGTTCAGCAAGTCTCGATGAATGTCAGTGTAATTTTTTAGGAATGGATGAATTTTGAGTTGGACTGTTTTTGAAAGATACAAGCAGGTCTTCTAGAAGTGCGGGCTGCTAACTTAAGTAAGCCTGGGGAATAAAAACAGGCCCAGGATTATCAAAAGAACTCTCTTATTAAACAGAGATTTTGCAAACACTTCTTATTCTATGATTTCGAGTTAGTGGGAAAAAATAAAAATGAATAATCTTCTAATTAAGCTGAATTACTCATTAAAACAATGTCAAATATAATCATATAAATATCAACAGAAAAATTCATCTCAAATCGCACAGGATTATTTATTTAAAATCAGTTCTGTTTGATAAATAAGCACTCACAGAGAGCATGTGGATTAATCCCTGCTTTCAAGAATGTTTTCATACGCAATTAATTTACCATTAGCTCTGAGCATCTGGGAACCTTGGAGCTCATATGTAAATGCCTTGACTTTAGCAAGGTCTGTTGGATACTCCACCCTCCCAAGTGTGTTTGTTCTGCCAGCTCCTTTGAAAATTTACAGTGAAAGCTATCTTGTATTACCACCATCCTATATGCCTTGAACACTTGATGTCCGAGGATCTACCCATTTCATGTGCCAATTGGATCACACCACGTTTGGGCTTTTTTGCCTAAAGATCACAGCCAAAATCATAACAATGGCCACCAGTAATTTATATTCCCAACAGAAACAGTGATTAATGGCTTGTAGCAGAAAACTGTACATCAAGATACCAAGGAAACTGGCAAACTTCAGACAACAGCTGTTCTTCATGGGCAGCAGCACACTGTTGCAGAAAATCAGCACAGCTCTTAATCTGATATCTACATATGCTTCTCTGTGGGGGTGAAATCATTCCCACAAATAGTTTTTACCAGTAGAACCGTGCTATTGATTGGCTTACCTGCCTGAAGCAGTATTTATGAATTACAGTTTCATTTTTTACTTTTTAGTTTTTCATTTAAACAAATCTGCACAGAAGGGGGAGAAAAAAAAAATAATAAAATAAAAAAAACAAGCAAAGCAAAACATACAGTTTCCCCTTCCATATGGCCAATGACAACACTGGCATGTTTACACAAAGATCTGAGATTCTCTGAATATTGTGGCACTTCTTTTTTCTCCATTAATGCCTCTGTTGAGCTAACCTGTGTATAGTCCCCATGTCCCTACATAGCACTGCCACATCACTGCTTCAGTACATCTAAGTAGCTTTGCATTAGTATAACTGTGCAAGTAACTGCTTAAATGCCAAACAAAATAGTTCCACTGATCCAAAGCAGTTCCCAGTGCTAGAAGTCAGCGATTGAATTTTATGATCTCTTGGATTTCATTCTTACTTTGGGAGATGCCTGTCACTGGAGGATGTTGCTATTACATCCTCAGCAGGAAAACTAACAATCTAGAATTTAATGACAAAAAGACATTTCTATCACCAGGGAAACTCCCACGTGAGATCTCTATTCTTTCTTGCCACGTAAGAGGTAACAAGATGGAATTGTACTC